CAACTTTTCAGATTTTTGTGCACACCTGGGGACTGCCCCAAGTGTGCACGAAAATCTCCCTCCCCCCCAGGTGCCCCCGATGTGCAGAAATAAGTATCCGCACGCAAGGGGGCGTCTTCGGTATTAGTATATAGATTTACAGTTAACATTCAACTAAATGTAGTTTCAAATATAGTAGTTGCAGATGTGCCAGCATAAGCTTGTCAAATGCAACAGTTATGGCAGTTATGTGAAATGTCATCATCTTGCAGCTTTCTGTGTGCTTGATAAAGCCCTTGTTTTTGGGGTTTTAAAATGCAGGGACAGAGATACGTGTCACTGAGCAGGTGACAGAATGCATGTGACAAAAAAACAGACTTTGAGAAACTGATCCAAATGGCAAAAATCTGAACACATACACACACAAAAGATGCTGAGAAAAATTACACTACGTTATTATGTATAGAACCAAGGCACAATACAATCAAATATCTAAAATTTGTGTCTTAAATTGGAAGCTTATCTAGACAACCCATCAAAAGCAGCATAATATATGCTCCCATTTGCATAGAAATTACTTTGACAACAACAACAAAATAAAGGAAAGTCACAAGGGAAAAAAAGAATGCAAAAACATAAGTTAGTTATGAATAATTTATATCAATTAAAGTTTGTTTGTTTACAATACCTTTGGTTATCCTTGTCATCACTCATACTTCTTTCTGGTTTTCTCAAACTTCTGAAGGAGTCAATTTTAAGACTGCCAAGAAATATTTATGTAACATTCCATTTATTTTATTTTATTATACCACCAGTCTTGTGTTAAATTATGTTGCCAGGAACTTTGTGATATCCCAACCCTTATGTAATTTATATAATTTATAACAGTCACACACAAGCCTGACAAACCCAAAATAATAACTATAATAAGTCTACCACAAATCAACATCTTAATCACCACTGGTGTATCCCAGTTTGTTCAAGATTTGTACAAGCTTATGTGGATGCTTCATTGTGGCCTTTTTGGTTTTTTAATGAAATACCACTATTCAGTAATCTACAAACATGCACCTCTACATTAAGAAACCTTATGCCCCATTTACAAGAATTGTTCCACCATGGTTACTACCTAGAATATAATAAATATGTCTTTTTTTACCTTTGAACTGGTAATCTTGGATGACTGGTCTCTCTATCTGTTGGTTTATCAGAATGTGACGGTTGCCTTTTAATTTCATCTTCATATAATCCAGCCAATGCAAGCTATATGAAATGTTAGATGTGTTAGGCAATGTTTACAAATATAAGAAATAAACAACTCAAGCTCAATAGTAATGTCACAGTTCTACCACACTGCTCAAACACAACCTTATGTGTATGAGAACTATTTTGGTATTCAAATTATGTTGAAAGAACAGCCATTTGCTAAGCAAACTGTTTAACAGCCATAAAAGACTAACACATCAGCTAAATAACTCTTCCACGTAACGTCCAGCACTTACAAGACTAGAATCCATTTTATCATCAGTATTAAATACAACAACAAGGGTGAATGTAAGATAACTGAACAATTAGAAACATTAACTTCTAAAGAAAAGACTTAATAGAAATGTTCCAAGGTATGTCGGATAGACTAGAAGCAGAGCCGGCCCCAGCTTATTTTGCACCCTAGGTGGGGATCCTTCTGGGGGGCCCCTCCCCACGCGCCCACCAATTTTCAAAAATAAGTGTATTTTAGGAAGAATTAAAAATGCAAATAATCAAGAAACTCCCAGAGTACGGGGTCGGGTGTAGTTTGGCGCTCCTAAGGGCCGGCCCGCTCTAGGCGATCGCCTAGTTCGCCTAGTGAGTGAGCCGGCCCTGACTAGAAGAATGATCTTTAGGAATTTTAGGGTCAAAAGATGTCAACCTCACTGTTTGCAAGGCCCAAATGAGATACTACAGGGGAGATCTATGTGTTCATTTCTAAAGTGGAAGGGTAGGAAGAGGCTATTTTTTAAAACTGAACCACACTTACGTTCCTGCTCTCTCATGCTCTCTCTGGTAGTCCCTGGCCCTAGGGATGTCTGACTTGTTTTGCCTGGTGGAATAAGCTACTTTACAAGATCAGGGTCCTGCGGGACCTATTACAGTTCTGCAGGGCCTGCAAGATGGAGCTTTTCCACCAGGCCTTTAGTTGAGGCAGCAGGCATCCACTTTGATCTGGCCTCCCCACCAGTGACCACAGATCCTAGAAGTCAGATTGGGATTATTATCTGTCAAGGCGCGTTGTTGTTTTAATGCTGGTGATTTTAATGGATTATTATGTTTTAATTGTAAATCTGCACTAATTGAAGACCTACATGTTAGCAGTGAAACTGAAATTTATTGTTATGGTCTTTGACCAGAACACATTAATACAAGTAATACACATTTATACCCAAAGCTTAGAACATTTCAGTTTCCTATACATAAATATTTGTAAAATACATAAATAAACCACTTATATAACCCAAAATATTAAGTAATATAACTTAAATCACTTATAAAACCATCTCTAAAATATTAACTAGCATGACTCATCCATATTTTCCTCAGCTTAATTGCCAGCCAACCATACTTAGCAATTTTAAAGGTGACATCTGTTTCTATCAGTGAGCATTTTCTTGAGGTGACTTTTTTGATCTTCCCTGGGAAACTAGAAATTACTAGTACTGCAGACCTATATGTTGGTACCCACCCTGAGCCTACAATGTGGGGAGGGTGGGATATAAGTCTAATAAAATAAATAAATAACATGCTTTCAGCACCTTTGTTCCAGCTTAATGCACTTCTAGTAGTGCACTACGTTAAGAAAAAAGCTTTAAAGGCTAAGATGGTTCCATTCCCGTTGGCTGTGCACTCACTTTTTGTCATCAACCCACCTTCCCGTGCTTTAGGTATAAGAGGGTCTAAATACATCTGGGTTTCCCACATCTAGTTTGGTCCTTAAACATACACTTAAAAACATATTGCTGTGTTTTTTGTGCATGTGCTATATCATATTCTAAGTTGTCCACAACAGTATGAGAGGTCTAGATCAGAAATTTGGCTATGATATGGCAGAACTAAAGCTATGTCTGTGCAACTTCTATTGTAGCTACATGACAGGGCATTTAGCCCAATTCCCCCCCTTTCTTGTAAGCTTTGTGCCATGGCAGTTGCTTTTCTTTTGTGCCACATCTGGTAGAGGGGCAGACCTCCATAATGCAAGAAAGGTGAGCAGCATGAGCTACTGCACTCGATGATGAGATAAAAAGTGTTGCTATGTGTTTTGTTTCTTCCGTCAAAAATCAAAAGGTATGAACAGCAGTGTTTCCTAAGTGCTTAACACTCCAAAAAGGACATTGGAGAGGTGGAAAAAGTACAGAGGAGGGCAACTAAGATGTTTAGGGAGTTGAAGCATTTCCTATGAGGAAGGGTTGAAGAATTGGCAATTTTCAGTTTAGAAAAGAGACAACTACAGTGTGACATGATAGAAGTTTCTAAAATTATGTACAGGGTAGAGAGAGTTGACAAAGAGAAAATTTTTGCCCTCTCCCAAGATTCTAGAAGTCAAGGGTATGGAATGAAGCTGATGGGCAGTAGGTTCAGGACGGACAAAAGGAAATACTACTTTACACAGAGAATGATAAAAATGTGAAGTTCGCTGCCAGAGGATGTAGTGATGGCCACAGGAATAAAAGGGATTAGATAGATTCATGGAGGATAAATCTATCAACCACTACTAGCCATAGTGACTGAGGGAAACCTCCACATTCAGAGGCACTAATCCTCTGAATCCCAGAGCCAAGAGGCAGCATCAGGAGAAGGCCTTGGCCTCTATACCCTGCTGTTGTGGTTGACCCCCCAGAGGAACTGGTTGGCCACTGTGTGAGACAGGATGTTGGACTAGATGTGACCACTGGTCTGAACCAGCACGGCTCTTCTTATGCTGATCTATAATTATAGAACAACAGGAATCAAAGACAACCAAAATTACAATGAAGTCAGTCATTTCCATCAATAACTATAGATACTGATAACTGATAAAATGTTGACTTTACAATATAACAAACTGTGAGATATACAAATGTAGGATTGCAGCAGGCCTATCAAATTTTATGATTGCTTTCACTATGGAAAGAAACCTTTCATCGAATTTGGTAACAAGTTTGTTAAGTAACTTTAACAAGCAAATAGAAATGGAGAAACCAAAGCAATATAGCAAACGTTGGTCAGAAAGGTTTCCAGGTTTCTGTAGCCGTGATTTTATTTTGTTATGAATTTCGGTGAGAATGTGGTTCCCAACACTTTATATCCTGGAACAACCAACCCGGCTGGCAAAGGCGAATATACATTACTCAAGAAAGAAAGTGCTCTTGATAGCATACCAGTTAGAATAAAACCACAACAGCAGGGGAAAGTCCTTTTAAAAACAAGCAGCCCCTTCCCTAGAATGAGCTCCCTTTTCTCCTCTCACTAGCCGCAGGTTGGGTCTCCACCTTCCCCACTGAAACAACCCCACACGCACGGGCATTACTCTCTTCCCCACGGTGATCGGGCAGGTGAGGCAGAGCGACAATCAGGAAGGGGAGGCGACACCACCAAGGCGCCTTCCTTCACACACCCTTCTCCCGCCTCCAACCACGTCTCCTTCGCTCCCTGCTCTCCGCACCTGTAAATCCCTGACGGTGGGGGGTCGGCCGCTCCCCCGAGGCCCTTTCTCGCGCCGTGGCTCGCTCGCCCCAACGGCTGCTTCCTCCTCTTGCTGCCCTGTGGTTGCTTCCTCGTCCGCCATCTTCAGCAGCACCAGCGAGCAGGGAAAGAAGGAAAGAGCCGCTCCCTGCACTCGAGCGTTGTGCGGCTATGGAGGAGGAGGAGGGGCGGGATCAGTGAGGAGTTCTTCCGGCAGCGACGGCTGTCATAGCAACGGAATCCCAGCTGCAGGACCACTTCGGACCGTTCGAAATCCCGGGTCGGGTCGGGGAGAAACGGCACTGGGAAAGGGCGCCGACCTAGCAGAGGGAGAGAGGGGAGCGCCCGCCCGCCCCACTGCAGCAGCTGCCTGCTGGCCAAGGCAGCTGGGCAGGTTCGCCCTTTGCCACGCCCGGCGAGACCGGCAGCGCAGCCCTGTTTGTTCTTCGCCGCCGCGAGGCTGACCCGGCGGGCCCCTCCCGTCCCTCTCGTTGAGTGGAGCGAGACTGGGCGGCCATCCCCGTCCTGTTCCTCGCCTGAAGTGGTAAAGCTGGCCAGCCCAGCTCCTCACCTGAAAAGGTTAGGCTGGGCAGCGTGAACCCGGGCCTCTTTTTCGGCTGGTGTGTCCCTGCCTGGACTGGGTGCTCCAAGCTATCGGCCCAGTCTGGGACTCTTCCTTAATGGTCAAGTGGCCCTGATCCCGACTGTTCCCTCCCAGTTCGATTGCCCTTGTGCACTATGCCCCTATTTCATATCACTTCATCTGTATTTCTTGTTCTAGTGTATCCCAACCTGGATTAGCTGCTCCACATTTATAATCAGCAACTTTCATTAGATCTCTGCCTTTGTCAGTATAACCACAATTCTGAAAAGAGATATGGACTGAAACTTTTAGGAAATCCTTCAGACTTTTTAAAAACCCTTCTGATTGTCAGTAATTAAACTGTCTTGACAGTCTCTTTAACTACCTGATATTTTGAATGTTTAGTCTGGCCCAAAGAATTGTCCTTATAATCTGGTTTCATGAAATCTGAGAGTATTTGCTGCGCGGTAAATCATAAATCAAGGACCTCGATGTCCTTGACAACCACAAGGGTATAATCACTGACCTCGAGCCAGACATCCTGCAGTGTGAAGTTAAATGGGCCTTAGAAAGCATTACTAACAACAAAGCTAGTGGAGGTGATGGTATCCCAGCTGAGCTATTCAAAGTCTTAAAAGATGATGCTGTTAAAGTGCTGCACTCAATTTGCCAGCAAATTTGGAAAACGCAACAGTGGCCACAGGATTGGAAAAGGTCAGTATACATTCCAATCCCAAAGAAGGGCAATGCCAAGGAATGTTCAAACCAAATCGCCAAACTCTCCCCGGCCTCCCAGGCCATGCCAGGAAGAGATTTCCATATATGTAAATCCATTACAGCAACTTATAGTTTACCAGCTGATGATTCCAAGGAAGAAGTATTTAAAAGCAAGGGACATTCAACTTTTGTATTCTTGGACATCATTTCAGTTGAGGACAACAATAGGAGGTTGAGACTGGCTTTCTTTCTTTCTTTCTTTCTTTCTTTCTTTCTTTCTTTCTTTCTTTCTCCCCCATGTACTCGATCCCTGCCCTGCTGTGCGGGACAGCAGTGTGACCAACAAAAGAAAAACTGTAATTGCCATCTGGATTGGTTGGATTTATTGTCCTACTGATTTTTTTTTTGTTTACACCTTTAACTATGCATTAATTGTAATTTTAAATGTTTTATAATGACTGTAAATCGCCCAGAGCCTGTTCATAGAATGGGAGATTGCAGCTGTTCGAATACCACCGCGGCCGGAGTGAGCTCCCGGCCCTAGTCCCAGCTCCCGCCAACCCAGCGGCTCGAAAGCAATTAACACCTAACAATGCGAGTAGACAAATGGGTACCTACCCTTAGATGGGTAGGGGGCACCCACCTCTGATGAGGATGTGTGGTGGTGGCTTGGACGGCGTGGATGGCAGCAGAGTATCGGCGGCGGCGGCGAGTGCTGGCAGAGGCGGAGCGATCCCTGGTGGCTGGAATGGAAAAACATCGGGCCACGGCGGAGGCTGGAGACGCACGACGGCGTGTGACGCAGGCACGGCGGTGCCTGATGGACAGAGCCAGGGCCGGAAGCGTGCATGAGCCGTGTGCCTGCGCGGTCCTGCCGGTGGTCGCTGTGGAGACATCAGAGGCCTAGAAGGACGCCGATCCGATCCAGCAGCCAAGATACCCAGAGGACGCCGATCCGATCCAGCCGCCAGTAGAGATCGAGTAGATGCCGAGCCGAGCCAGCAGCCAGAAGACCATCAAGGGCCCAACACCAAGGTTGCTGGTAGGCAGTCCCCCCCCTAATACTAGATGTGGCCCAAGTTAGGATTACAGTTCTTAGAACGCAACACATGGATTAGGGCGGTATATCAAGTCTAAAGTTAAATAAATAAAATAAAAAATATAATAATAATAATAATAATTTTGTACTCCAGTCACTAGTCTGATAGTCTAAAGTTCTTACAGGCAGTTAGGGTTCTGCAATTAACAGTGTACTCTGTGATGGATGGGCCTTCCAGAATCTTCAGCCAATCACTTTCCAATGATGGACTGTAATATTGAAAAAAAGAAAAGAAAAGATGACGTTTGGCAGCCTAGATTCACACCAAAGGGTGTGTGTGTCAGATTTTTAAAAACAACTTGTACGTTTTCAAAAGGTTTCATAGAAGAGATATGGCCCCTACAGAGGAATAATTCAGAAACCAATGTTATGGAAGAAGAGCACACTGGGAAAACTGAATATGAGATCATGCCTGTATGTAACTGTGATAGTGCCAGGGATCACAGATTTGGTGCTAGGTCAGTATTTACTAATTTTGCTACACTTTCCCCCTCCCCCCTTCCTTAAATTCTGCTGTCATTTCTACAGTTTTTTAAAAAATGCTTTCAAATAGGATATTTTGCTATTACCTGTCTTTTCTGTGGTGCTACTTTTGTTTAAACTATGGAAGGTTACATTTGATACTGATTTTTTTTTAGTTTTATCTCCTTGTGTTTGCTGCTGTTTTGTTTCAGTTTTAGAATTTTTATTTTGTATTTTTATTATATTTTGCTAATATATGTTATGCTAGTATATGGCGTGATCTGGTCCATGGGGTCGCGAAGAGTCGGACTCGACTGTGCGACTGAACAACAAGAATATGTTTTATACTAATAGTGTTAGCATTTTAAAACTGTTGAGGTGATGTTTATCTTAGCTGCCTCGAGATCCAGAATTAGATAAGAAAATATATATATTTAAATTAATCAGCAGCCCGAATAATGTGGTTTAAAAGAGTTGCCTCTGAACATCCCCCAAGCATTAAGTCCAGTGATTCTGTTGGCTCTTAACCAGAGCATGGCAATGGAAGCACTGTTTAGGTATTTGTTCATATGATTCTTCTTGTTATGCCTGAACATCACCAGTGGTTATTGGTTGTGATAAATACTAAACTAACATTGAATGGTCCCGATATTCTTTTGGTGACGTTCTGTACATATTTGTGCTCTGCATAGTACTGTAAGATACCTAACATTGTCTGTTACATCATTGTGGGTGGTAGGTCCATGACAGATTTGCTGAAATAAATTCTGTAGTTTTAGATGCTACAAAATTCTGTTACTGCTAGAGATGTTCATGGCTGCTACTCTAGAATATGTCTGTGTAGCAGCTCATGAATTTCCTATTGTTTGGAAGCTAGAATACTATAATTCTCCCCCCAATAAATTCTTTGTGTGCTGCAAATAAAATGTAACAAGAAAAATGTAAAAGGTATTCCGTTTAAGAATAAATTCTGTACAGGGATGATGTTTGCCACTAGATGATGCTCATGTAACAAAAGTCAACTGCTGAAGCTTAAAGTCCAATTTTACTCTTATCCTCCCTATATCAGTTTTTATTTTTGAAAGTTAGTTAACATATATGCCATTTCAAATTTGTGATACATTTGGGGATTTTTGATACTGATAGAGTTGTTTTGCATAGGTCAAGGTCTTTTTTTGGGGGGGTGGCACTTTTTTCCAGCGAAGGCATTTATTAATTGTTAACACTTATTTGACGTATTAGACAAAAGTTTTGAAAGTAATTTGATTTCATCAACTTGTTTCTCTGTGCTGAATTCCTAAGAATTTTTTCCCTAGGAATTAGCCCCATGAATAAAATGGGAATTGTTTATGAGTAGACCTCTTTAAAATTGCTCTCTAATAGTAATAACAGGAAAACTAACTCAATAGATACAGCTCCTAGTTTCTCAGCCTTACACCTCTCTTTGAAATATAGTATTAGGCATGGAAATAGAGTGATAACCAATGTAACTGCTAGATTCGAGTCCAGTAGCACCAGCGTCTAGCTGTTCTACGGCAGACCAACACAGTTACCCTCTGGAACCAGTGTAGTTACCTTAGATGTACCATATCTGCAGAAACTTATTCCAGTTAACAGCCAGCCAGCCACATTGTGTAATAGTTGCATTTTCCAAGCCATCTGCAAGGTCAGTCCCCATAAACATATACAGTAATATAATATAGAAGTCACCAAAACAAGACTGACAGATAAACAGTGAAGGAAGTTCAGACTGGCAGAGTTCAGAATGCAAACCAGAGTGAAAAACAGATTTGCCACAATAAAGTTGGTAGTCTTTAAGTTCCCTAGTTCAGCAGATCAGAAAGTACCATTCTATTGCTAGTTTGGCCAGATCCCTTTGTATTCAGGGATGGATTTGCTCCACTCCCCTTGCTCCATGCCCCTTTTGTAAGCTAAGAATCTTACAACTGAGAAAGGGGATGGGGGTCACTGTTTGTTAGGAAGGCTCAATAGAGACATATGAGGCCTTGTAGAGTCTCTTCTGAACTGCACGTAATGTCACTTCCTGCCAAGAACAGATTTATCTCATTGCCCTCCCATTCAATAGGGAAGAATAAACATCCTGAAACAGCTCAGGGGGCATTATTTGCACCTTTGTGGGCTGTACACAGAGCTAGTGTGGGATAGTGGTTAACAGCGGCGGACTTTAATCTGGAGAACCATGTTTGATTCCCCACTCCTACACATGAAGCCTGCTGGGTGACCTTA